AAAATAAGAAAGTTAATTATTAGAAAAAATATTTTTATTGAGACAAAAAAAAATAATTTGTTAAATATTATTTTTTGTTTTGTTTTTCTTAATTGTTTTCGAAATTAATGAAAAATGTTATTTGTTTCGTATTTGTTTTTTTTTTTTCTTAATATTGTTTAATATAAACAATATTGATTTATTTTGAATTTTTATTATATTGTTATATATAAAGTGTCATTTTGACCCTGTTAGATTTATAATGACATAAAGAATTTGCTAAGCTTAAGAGAAAATAATCGATAATGTTCTTATTTTAGTATTAAATTTGTTTTATCAGATTAATTTGTTGGTTTAGAAGATCTATTGAAAGAATTGTTTGTTATGTAAATGAAGCTAATTTCGGATAAGAGTGAATAAATAATTTTTTTCTAGATCAGATAAATGTGTTCGTTCAATCGAACAAAAAGAAAAACAAAACGAACTCAATTGTATAGATCTTCGAAGTTAATGACTATTCTCGACTATTCTATTGTGTTTATCTTTACTTCACGTCATCAATACAAATGAAATATTTATATAGAAGTTAACAAATGCGAACTATTTTTATTTATATATTCATTATATCTCTATTTGAGAAAAAATATTTCACATAGAGAAGTGCATTTTCTTATTGATTATCTTATAATATATAACATAATAGTAAATGTTAGAGTATTTTTTCATTTCTATATATAAGTGCGAAAGCGTAATATATTTTATTTGTATATAACAATATTGAATTAGTCTAGATCGAGAAACGAGAATATAAAAATGAATAATATTTCTTGAATGAAATAGGAATATATTAAGTTTAACAAGAAAAATATTGTTTATAAATTTAATGAAATAAGCTTATCGATTGAAAATTTGGTGCATGTTTCTATATTTACTTCTGATCTTATTGATAATGATAATAATAATAATAAAGACAAAACAGGAGAGAGAACACGCTGAGTCAATTAATCATAAATTTTTCTATTTCTATAGACAATCGTTATGCCGATGGAGTTTCCGCATGGCGTGACCGAGAAAAAAAGACAAAAAAAAAAAAAAAAAAACCAATCATCTTGAAATCAGTTGAGGTAATCTTATACGTAATATTCATTTATGAGGAATTCCGTCCTCATTTAAATATCAATCATTGTATTTAGACCCCTATAGATACTATTTTTATTATTTAAATTAAACAAATATTCAATAATAATCTATTTTAAGATTTCTTTTGTTTTTTTGTTTTTTTTTTTTTGTTCTAGATTATTTTATAAGAAATTATTTAAACCGTTATAAAATCTTTATTTTATTTAAATAAATAGTTGAATAATTTCTATTGAATGATAATATAATCTCAATTAAATTTAATTATATGCAAGAAAAATCTTTCTCATTTATTCTCGTAAATTTAGATCAATATTCAAAGCATCACAAGACAATAATTATTATCTTTCATAATATCACCAGATATTTTCACACTTCAAATATTTTTCTTTTTTTTTTATACAAAAAGAATTTTTTTTACCGAAATAAAAATATTCTTAAATGCTAAACGAAAGTTTTTGTTTAAAATGGCATAAAGTACAGGATTAATTGATGAATTTGAATATCCCAACCAAACAAAAAATTCAATAGCATTGAAACTTAAACAAAGACATACAGCTCGAATTATATATAAAGTAAAGAATGGTAACCAACAGCATATGAAACAACCAATAACAACAGCTAATGAACGAGTAATACGAGCTTCAGCTGTTATTTCTCGACGTCCTAATTGATGTTGATCACAGTGAGGTATGTCATCATTTGTTAATGAACTTTGAAAAAAACTTTGAGATCTATTTTGTTTACGAAATAATTTCGAATATGAACAATTAACAATAAATGATCGATGATGATTCGATCTTTTCACATTTGTTTTCTTTATTGAATTAACATAACATTGAACTGTTGACGAGGTTTTGGACGGTTCATGAAAGTATGCTGATGAAGTTCTTGCTTTTTTAATTTCATCTATAATATAAAGATTTTAAAAATGAAAATGAAAATGAAAAAAATCCAGAAACTTTTTTTTCTTAATTTTTTACCAAATTTTGTTGTTGTTCGATTATTTTTATTGAGTAAAACAGTTGTTACTGTTGTTGGTGTTGATGATAATGGTTTTTTCTTTAACTTTAATGATTGTTGTCTAATTGCATATAAGACTTTTGCATATAAAAAAATCATAATAATTAATGGAATATAAAATGAAAGTAAAGAACTTGTTAAAACAAAATTTAAATCTTTATATAATTCACATTGACGATTTGATGATGTATATTTAGTTGGTGATACATAAATTGTTCGATTTTCAGATTCCAAAAAAATTTCTTTTTTTTTCTCAAAAAATAATGTTGGTAATAAACATATTGCTATTGAGACAAACCATGCAATCCATATATAAATTAATGCTAAACGTATTGATTGACGATGATGACAATAACGAATTGGATAATTTGTTGCTATATATCGATCAAATGCAATCATTAATAAACCCTATAACAACAACAAAAAAAAATAAATATTTTTCAAACAAAAAAAAATAATTATTAAAGAAAAAAAGAAGTTTACCCAAATAGATGCTGTTGAACAAAGAACATCAATAGCTAACCATATTTCACAAAGAAATTTTCCAAAATACCAAATACCAAATGTTGAATATGATGCTGAAAATGGTAAAACAGCAATACCCAATAAAAGATCACTAATAGCTAAATTAATAATTAAATAATTTGACATTCCACCTTGTCGAATTTGTTTATCAATAATAAATGCAATAATAACTAAAATATTTCCAAATATAGTCCAAATAGTTATTGTAAAAAGAATAATTCCAATAAATATTGAAATAAACATTGGTGATGATGATGAATAAGAAGAATTTGAAAATGAATAATCAAATGGATATGATATAAACATAGTATGATTTGTTCCAAACATAAATAAATCGTTGTTCTTATAATGATCATCGATCGGTAGAGAGAGAATATAAGAATCGCTATTATTCATTGTCTTATTTTCATCATCGTTCTCGTTGATCCAATGAGAAAAACGACTAGACGGACCAGGAACAAAATTGTTTTTCACAAATAGCATCGTTTTAACTGTAGATGACGAGAACATTTCTCCAAACATCATTTTTTCATATAAGTAATCATCTCTTAAAAACAAAAAACAAAAAACAAAAAACAAAAAAAATTCTTTTTCTTTTTCTTTTTCTTTTTCTTTTTCTTTTTCTCATAATCTATTTCTCATAATCTATTTCTCATAATCTATTTCTATAAAAAACAAATACGATTGAGAGATATATTATTATCATCTTAATAAACGGACAAATGGTATATTATTATATAGGGATAAAATTTTATTCTTTATATGACTATGACAATAAAGATTATATTAAGTTATTCATTGTTGAGAACATGTTGTCTGTTAAAGAAAAAAAAATCTCACCATGCTCTTAAGGCACTTACTTCTTTTGTCCCTAACAGGCTATATTGAAAATTAGTAGCACTTCTACGGAGTGTTGATCATAGTATCTGCATGACATGTCTTTATTTTCTCAACTTCCGCTTGCCTGATTTTGATCAATTCATATTTATTTCTGGTTGACTTATCATTGGTTACCATTAGTAAAAGAATATTTGTTGAGAACTTGTGTCATCCGAAATATCTTATGACAAGACGAACAAATCATCAAT